AGGTGACTGAGGGTGGGAACACTGCCCACCAGAGCCCCCAGATCCAGGGCTGCAGCTGCGTCACCCCCTGTCCCATCCATCTGGGCTTCACGAGGCTGGGCTGGAAGGGGTGCATCGTGTCTGTCTCTGCTGCCCAAGGAAGAACCTGTGGGGGAAGGCACTTGCCCAAGGTCAATAGATCATTCCAGAGCAAGCCCCTATCAGAGGAGACCAGAGCCCCATCTCTTCTTCCCTTGCCCTGCCCATGCCCTGCAGACAGCAAATGCCTTGTGGCCACCAGTGGTAGCCCAGAGGAGGCCAGTGTTGGGGGGCAGTTTGTGGGGTCTGAAGCCCAGCTGCCCAGATCTAAAGCCTGAATTTGGTGTGAGACTTAGGGCCAGTGGCTTAAACTCTCTGGGGCTCAATTTTCTCAAATGTAAAATGGGGATAAGATACTCTTGGCTTGTAAAGAAGATTTGGAAAGATCTGGAGTGTTCTAGCTCATCTTAGGCTGGGCACTTAACAGGCACTAAGAAAGAGGCCAACGATTGTGGGAGGGAATTACTTCTGTCCATTTTAGGGGAAACGTTCTGACTTCTGAATCTACATGAGTCATCTGTGGAGCACTGAGAAATACTGAAGCCCAGCTCCACCTCTGGAGAATGTGATGTATTTGGTTTGGGGTGAGGCCTGGGCATCACCATTTAAAAGCTCCTTAAGTGACCCCAATGTTCAAGCAGGTATAAAAACACTGCAGGAAGACAAGGGGTGCCTGAGTGGCTGAGCTGGTTGAGTGTCTGACTCTTGATCTTAGCTCAGGTCTTGATCTCAGGGTCATGAGTTCAAGCCCTGCGCTGGGTATGGAGCCTACTTAAAGAAAAAAAGTTTGAAAAGCACTGTGGGAACACAAAAGTACAAGCAGCTGGAAAGGTCATGGCCCTGTGATTAGCAGGAGGTACCTGAGGTAGAGCACGGGAAGCATGGGCATGGTAGAAGGGAAGAGCTTAAGGGCTGAGGTCTCTAGGACCTGGATCTCCACCCAAGCCTTTCCACTGCCTCTGGTTTGTCTGAAGTGGAGGGAAGAGGATCTCCCCAAGAGCAGGCTCTAGACACACTGATGTCTCTGAGTGCTCTGGCCTTGGGCTTCCCATCTCTGGGAACTGAGACAACTAAACGACAATGCCCATGGCCTCACCTTGAGAGGAGGCTGGAACCCCCTGCACTGGGGTCACTCCTCACTTTATCAAGGCTGTGTCTCCTCCTGCAGCCTCTCCTCTAAGCCACAGAGCAGAAGTACTAGGGACAGTGCTGAAGGTGGCACAACCTTTGGGGACACTGTTTTCTTTGTGGTCTTTACAAATGATGGCTCCTGGAGGTGTGAGACTGAGACCAGAAGTACTAGGCAGGGAGGGTCTCATGTCCCTACTTTACAGAGGGGGATCTAAGGCCTGGGATATGATTAGACTTCTTGCTCTCTGAGGGTAGAAGCAGGCCTGTTCTCCCCCTGCCCACCCAGCACCAGCCTGGCACACGGTAGGCCATTAGAGAATGTTGATGACTGAATGGATGAAAAAAATACAGCCATGAAGAAATGACCTTTCTGAGGGGCTTTGTGTCAAGGCCCCAGTAGGGAGGACAGCAGAGTCCTGATTTGGGCCTAAGTCTGCCTCCAATGTGCTGTAAGAACTCAGGAACCTCTCTCTGTCTTCTGGAACTCAAGACCCTTAGAGAATGGGCCCTGGCTCGAGGCCCAAGCTCCCTGGGAAGTAGAATTCACAAGACAGCTGCCCTCCATGTCCCCAAAGCTGAGGTCCTAGCAGCTTTCCCCAGCCTGGGAATGCTGGTTGCCTGTATTGCAAGGCTCCTGACCTGGCCCTGCTCCTTCCTGACTCTTGGCCCCATAAATCACCTTGTGCAGCTTGGAGAAACTCGTAACAAATGTCTGATTGTCCCTGATTAGATGAGCCAATGAACTTCCGTCCTGCGTTGCTCAGATCCCTCTTTGCAAGCCCCAAATTAAAATTCCAGACCAGAGCAAGAGGATTTAAATTGGATTACTGGATGGGGTCCAGGGAGAGAGGAACAATGGAGGGGGGTAAGGGGTCTAGTCCCCCACATCCCTGTCTCTACACGCACCCAGGCTGCAAACAAATGTGGGAAAGGAGTGAAGGGCCAGAACTTGATTAAAAGCAAATTTAAAACATAATTAAGACCAAAGCTCATCCTGAACAATTAGGACCAAGGCAGGAGAGGATGGTTGTCCTCTGTGTCCTCTGGGGATATGGACAGAAGCATCTTGTGGGCCTAGAGCCAGGGCACTGCAGCAAGGGGGTTCATGAAGGGCCAGCAGAGTGCTGGGAAGGTAAGAGTGGTGGGCTCTGTGCACACCTTGGAATCATGTGGGGAGTCAAGGGCCTGGCTTAGCATCATAGTGACCTGGGTTTACATCCTGGCCTGATGCATGGCATGTCTGAGTCTCGGTGTTCCCTCTGTGAAGTGGGCCTCCCTCACGGGGTTGCAGTGAGAGCAACCTGTGACAGACAAGACATGGTGAGTGCCCAAACAGTGAGTGAGAAAGAGAATCCCAAGCAGGATCCATGCTCAGAGTGGAGCCTGATGTGGGGCTCGATTTCATGACCCTGGGATCATAACCTGAGCCAAAATCAAGAGTCGAACGCTCAACTGACTGAGTCCCTCAGTCTCCCCCATCATTCTTCTTTTGAAAATGATTTGTGGCATGCCTGGCTGGCTTAGTTGTGACTCTTGATGTTGGGGTTGTGAGTTTGAGCCGCACATTGGGTGTTAAGATTACTTAAATAAATTTAAAAAAAAGAAAAAGAAAATAATTTGTATTTGGCACCAATTCTGTACCAGGCCATGGGCTAGGCTGCAGATGCAGTGGGAAGGAGAGAGACCTCTGCCCTGCCTCCAGGGGCAGGGTCCAGCATGTGGGTGGAGTATAGGGAGAGAGTTGGGATCAGGATGGGGTTTAGTCTTGGGCTCTATCCTCCCTGCCAAGGTAACAAGGTTGATAGTTTGTTTAGTCATGGGGGAGGAGCTTGGGGAGAGATCCCAGACTTGCAGTGCCCAGAGAGGATGGGCAGGGGGCTGGGCCCTGGGCTCCATCTGTGGAGGGCCCATGCCCTCCAGGCATCTGCCATTGCCACCACTCAGCACCTCTCACTGAGTCCTAAAGCCAGGGTGGGCAGCAGGCCTAAAGGCCTAAAGGATGCCTCTTCCTAAATTTATCAGAAAGGTTCAACACAAGTTCAGGGCTGCTGGCCTGTACTTTGTAAAATGGAGGAAAGCAAGGAAGTAGTAGGCAAATGAGGAGTCTGGAATGAATGGAAGAGAGAGAGACAGAGAGGCAAGAAAGGAGGGGACAGGATCCAGGTCAGGCCCAGTTCTAGGAATACCAAGGAGGGGACATGATATGCTGGATGGATAGGGCAGCAGAATGTTTCTCACAGTTAGGCGAGACACTCTTGGACACCCGCCCTCCCCGCCAAGGGACTGCTGTCCCAGCTCAAGACTGGGCTTTGCCCTCTTCCCGGGGGCAGTTCATTTCTCCAGTTGTCTCCCAGCCTGTGACTGGGAGCTCCTGAAGGTCAGGCTGGACTGGGTTGGGCCCAGCTCTGGGTCATCTTGATCCCCCCCTGGGTGGGAGGCCTTCAGGGTCCACCGCCTCTGGGTTTCTGGTCCCAGCATGCCAGCCTCTCCCTACTCTGTGATTCTACATAACACAGGACAGGCAGGGGTCGCCAGTGGGATGGCAGGGCCCAGCATGGGTTCTTTCCTTGGGGCCTGGATGTGGTGGGGGCTTGGACTCGGTGACTGACCCGATTTAACCCTGCCAGGCCCCTGGCCTGAGGTTGGGTATGGCTTGTATGGACTTGCTCATCTTTTTTTTAGAAAAATAGTTTTACTGAGATACAATTCACATACTACAAAATTTACCCACATAAAGTATAGAATTCAGTGTTATTTTTTTAGCACACGCAGAGTTGTGCAACCATCACCACAATCTAATTTTAGAGTATTTTCATCACCCCCCAAAGAAACCCTGTACCCATTAGCAGTCCCTCCTTATTCCCCCTCCCTTCCAGCCCTAGGCAACCACTAATGTACTTTCCATTTCTGTGGATTTGCCTATTCTGGACATTTCACAGAAATGGGATCACACAATAGGTGGTCTTTTATGGAGAGCTTCTTTCACTTGGTAGAATGTTTTCAAATTCATCCATGTTATCATGTGTATCATCAGTACTCCATTCCTTTTTATTGGACTCTTCTTTCTGACACAGGTGGGGACTGGGGCAGTGGCAGCTGTGCCTCTGATGCAGGGGGCAGCTTGGACACTCTCCCTTATTTACTGCACAACCTCGCAGCTCTAGAAGCCCCTCCCCCACCTGCACTCCCTTGGGGTGGGTGGAGTTTGAGGGGCCTGCTGGCTTTGTATAAGTGGTCAGGGCAGCTGAGCAGGATCTGTAAACTCTCAGAACGGCAGCACCTTGGAGCTGACAGGCACAACCTCTCTAAGATTAGAGGGGGAGAGTGAGGCTCAGAGGGAGGCAGAGAAACATTCAAGGTCATGGGCAGAGTGGGGGGGGGCTCCAATCCCTAGCATTACATGGCTCCCACATTCTCTGTGGGGCATTTGGGGCCACTCCACACTCCCTCCCCATCGCAGTGGCAGCCCACCCTCCCAGCATCAGCAGGTGCTCACCCCGAGCACACTTGTAGACCAGAGGAATCTGAGAATTCCAAGCCTGCCTGGGCCCCACCTTTATGCCTGCACAAGAGCCCCAGGACCCCAGGTCACCCTCATGCAGCCTCTTCCAGATAAAACTATCTGTTCCTGACATTGCTGCCCACAGTCCAGGTGAGCACAGCCCTGCCAGTGAATTCAGCCTGAATTCAGAGGGACAGGAGGGCCATGTGTTCATGCTGGGTAGGGGCACTGCCCACACAGTGCAGAGCCACTCACCTGGCCCTCCCTCAGCCCAAACAACTGCACCTACCTTCAAGGCCTGCACCTTCCTGTCCAGCAGGCTCTCGATGTCCCCTGCTACCTTCTCCACCAACTTCTGAGGCTCATTCTCCTGCACCTCAAATAGATTCCGGTTGTCCTTGTAGATCTAGAAGGAAGCAGGAGCCAGGGGTGAGACGAGGGTGGTTCTACATTCCCATGCCACAGCCTCCTCATTGCCCTCTGCATAGTATGGTCCAACCCTTGGCCCTGCCCCAATTCTGGCTCTGGCCACTCGGAGAGCATGGATGTCTGAGGGTTGGGCCCAGTGTCCCTTCTGAACTTGAAGAAAGGCTACCGTCATAGATTCCACAGCTTGCCCTGGTTGTGACTGGTGGGACCAGGTTGTTACTGCCTTCTCTAGGACTCAGGGTTCCTCCTCCAGGGGCCATGAGCAACACCCCTGTGACTAGTTCAGAGCAGCTGAGAGCAGCAGAGGGGGAAGGGCGGGCTCGATAGGAGGCAGGGTGTGTGTATGTGGGGAGATGGAACCAGTAAGCACACACTGCATACCACATGCCTGCTGACATGAAGACACTGTCACACTTACTACACACATCTACACGCCCACACATGCATCACAAACGTATAGCCACCCCTCCCCAAGGGCGCAGGCATCCATATCCTCTTTTGCTGGTGCTGCCCCAAGGCATTTACAGAAACTAGTGGGAATTCTGCGTCCCCCTCGGAGCTCCTCTCTCATTCAGGGCACAGAATATGGGGGCAGGGACCAGGGAAAAGGAGGTGTGTGGGGAGGATAAATCTGCCCCTCTCTCCTTAAGGACTGGGTCTGTGCACTCACTCACGTGGGGGTGTAGAGCTGACAGTCTGCATCTGCATGCGTGAGCGTGTGTGTTATGGCTCAACACACATCCATCTGTGTGCGTGTGCCTGCGTGTTGGGGGTAAGATGGGGTTAGAGCCTCTAGATGAAGCCTGAGGCTTAGATGTGAGTCACAGGAGTGAATTCAGCGGGCCTCTTTGTTCCAGGCTGGGGTCTTGGGTGTATGCACATGCATACGTGAGTATTTAAGTGTGCATTTTACACCCCCACATGTGTCCATCCAGATGACCCCAGGAGGTGTGCTCCCAAAGCTGACTCCTTCACAGAGGTCACATGCCACTACTGAACGCCACCACGGGGCCATGCCATCGGGCAGTGCAGAACCAGAGGGATGTAGAGAGAGAAGAGGTGATGAGGAGGAGATAAGGAGGTGGGAGAGGCAGCTGATGAGAGACAGACAGGCAGGCGAGATAAAGTAGGGAGAGTGACAGCCAGATGTGGGGGAGATAAGGCTTTCAGCAGCTGATGGGGGAGGAGGTGAGGGATCGGCCTGGAGCCCCTGCCCCGCCGCCCACTCAGCGCCCAGCAGTCCAAGGGTTAAAGTACCACACGAAGCCGGCTCAGGCAGTCTCCTCCTCCTGCCACCCCCCATCCCTCCCGGCTTCTCTTTTCTTTTTGTCCTTCTCCTAGAACAAAATAATTTGTGGCGAATTCGCTCCTTCCCACAGAGCAGTGGCGATTAGAGGGTGAGGCGTGAGGCCGGGATGCAGGGCCAGGGGGGATGGAGGCCCCAAGTGGGCATCAGGCCAGGCTGTTTCCTGGGCTCCCTGGGCTGTGCCTCAGGGCAGAGGCCCCTAGATGGAAGATGGTGATGGAGACAGAGATCAAGGAGGGGTCTGAGTCTGGAGTCACTGAGAAATGTGGGGAGCCTGGAGTGCAGTGCCCACTGTTGGGGAAATTGAGGCTCAGAAACAAGAAAGGACAGGTCAAGGCCACACGACTCTGGATGGATGGCAAAGCCAGTTCTTCCTGGACCTCTCCATCCCAGGTTTCAGGACTTTAAAAATACACCCTTTCTTTTTTTTTTTTTTTTTTTTTTCCTTTTTTAAATGTTTTATTTATTTTAGGAGAGAGAGAGAGACAGCGTGAGCAGGGGAGGGTCAGAGAGAGAGGGAGTCACAGACTCCGAAACGGGCTCCAGGCTCTGAGCTGGCAGTCAGCACAGAGCCCGACGCGGGGCTCGAACCCACCAACCGCGAGATCATGACCCAAGCGAAAGTCGGACGCTCAACCGACCAAGCCACCCAGGCGCCCCAAAAATACACCCTTTCTTAAGCATGAGCTGCTGGCCTGGAGCCACTGCCCTGGGCGTGTTGAGGCCAGCTACACCAGCTGAAGCCTTGGCGAGTGCACCCTGGCCCACTTATGCCAGCAGGGGGCGCAGCTGCCTGGCTTCTCTGGGTAGGGGATGAAGTTCCAACACCTGACTCTCTTGTCAAGGTCATTCCCAGGTATCCCAAATAGGGCTGTCCATAGCCGTGGCAGTCCCCGATCAGAATCTGGACTAAGCAGCCTCCTGATAACTTTCCTCTGGGAGCCCAGGAATTCCTCCCCACCAGATCCAGGGTGTCCCTTGCAGTGTGGCACGGTGACTGGGACAGGGCTCAGGAGCCAGAGGGAGTGGGTCTCCAGGTGGAAGTGTCATATCCCAGGGCCCTGAAAGGTGGCTCAAGGCCTTGAAAGCAGGAGCCCTGCTAAGAGTCACCTCACGTCTGAACCTTGGTGTCCGATTTATTAAAGGAGAGAACGGCAGTACCCTCTCTGCAGGCTGATGGAGGACTGCAAAGAGCCTACACTATTGTCACTATTGCTATTGAGGATCACCAGAATTCTGCAGAAGGAGTCACAGTCTCTCCCTGCCTCCACTCTTTCTGCTAGGTGGGCACACTAAGGATCTGAGGCCATTGGCTCCCATTCCTGGGCAGACAGCCGTGGTCTCCTGGGGTTGCCTGCCTCCAGCCCCACCCTCCTCCCAGGCTTTCCTGGGCAGCCCCTCTCCAGCCATCCTGTTCTTGTCTCCAACACCTCAGCCGGGGCCCTGGAGGTGATGACAGGGGAGCCCAGACACAGGGACGCCACTGATACAGCACAGCCAGGCCAGCTCCTTTCCAACTCTCCCCAGGCACTGGGCCTGTGTGTAATGGACCCTTGGCAAATGCATATGCCTAATTCCCTGCTCAAGAGCAGAGCTCTGCGGCCAGCTAGACCTCGGTCTGACTCTTATATTCCTGTTTGCAGCTACCCCTTGGAGCCTGGGGCTACATCTGCCACTCTTTCTTCCTGTCCCAAGGAGCCTCTATGACACCCTTCTGCTGGCCCTTGGTGCCAGCATTGGTGGCCTCTCCAGCCCATTGACCTGGTGTAACCCTGCAGGCTTCTGGGTCCCTAGCCCATGCCGATGCCCACTACCACCCCTTTGCTCATGCTATCCCTGTTTCCCTTCTGCCTTCCCTGCCTTTCTAAATTCTCTCTAGAGCAAGGGTGGTAAAATGGGCTAGAAGGAGTTTCTGGGGAGACAAGGGCTGAATCCTAGAACTTAGGGGCTGGTCAAACTACCAGCCAAGCCTGTGCCCCAATCCCAAAAGAGCCCCTGAGACACGGCAGCCCTTGTTCCTTCAAGTTCCTCCAAGTGCTTCATCCCTCTAAACATTCCCCTGGACCTATTCTAGGTGCCCCTGTCCCCTGGGGGTGGGCCTGAGCTGAGTCCTGTGTCCCAGGGAGATCTGCGTGATATAGTTCAGCAGATGGTCCCACCCTGGGAGATAGGTCATCTCTCCATTGATGCCGTCTGAGGAGGTACTTTCTACCTATAGGCCCAGCAGGACGCCTGGGAGATCCCAGGGCAGAAAGCCTCTAGCCCTGGTCCCTGGAGCTGGGTTACAAGCAACAGACAGGCCAGGGTGCACCGGATGCAGGGCCTCAACAACCACAGCAGGCCTGCATGCCCGCTGGTGTCCTTGGCCCAGCAAGCTAATTGGAAAAACCCAACAGCTCCCACAGCAGCACAGCCTCCAAGGCCCCCACTTCTACACAGACGGCTGGACTGAGGAAAGATATGGGGGCCTGCAGGTCTACAGGTTGCTGCAGCTTGGCACCAGCGTGATGGGGGAGGAAGAGGCAGGGGCTCCATCCCTCAGAGATGGTGAACAGTAGTGGGTCAGGTCAATAGACTGGCAGACAGGCTGGCTGGAGCCAGGTGAGCATATGGAGCAGGGGTGGCTGAGACCCCAAGGATGACAATTCCGAGGCAGCTTGCAGCCCTTTGTTCATAGGAGTCTCTGGCTCCCCTCCCTTGGACCAGATACCTCTGGCCTCCTCCCCTAAGGGCAACTCTCCCCCTCAGTTATGGAGACCTGTCCCTATATTGCTCCCCTTATCTCCTCACCTCCTTCCCTGTGTCCCCCATTGCTGGCCCCAACGCCGACCCTCTCTCAGCTCTAGTGATTCTTTAGTTAAGCGGCATGCCTGGTCAGCCTTTCCGCCTAGGATTTCAGGGGCTTGTGGAGGTCAAGGCCTCCTCAGGGGCCCCAGAACCTCTGCCCAGCCCCCTGCTTCTCCGGTGTCTCCACATAAAGAGGAGCCTAGAGGACACCTGTAGGTACGTTGACCTTGGACAGGAAGCCTGAACGTACACAGGGGCAGACAGAGCCAGCCTCATTCCCACAGCTCATGACAGTCCTGACTAAGAGTGGGGTCGGGTTCTGAGGTACCTGGAAACAGAGACAACATCACAGGAGACAAGAGACCCCAGGACTGGAGAACCGGATGCCCCTAGTCATACTGGAGAGGCTCTTTGCAAAGTCCCAGAACTGGCGGCAGTGGGGCCTGGCCCTGAGCCAGCACTCAACCTGCCCAGGGAGAGGAGGAAGGTGGGAGGAAGGGAGAGGAAAAGGAGGCGAGGAGGGGAAGGGGAGGAGGGCAAAGGGGGAAGAGGGACAATGGAGGCCCCAGGAAGTACGGTGTTCACTGAGTGTTCGCTCTGGCCACCCTGGGGCAGATGTTTTCACACCTGACCTCACTGATCTTGGACAACCAGAGGAGGGTCGCTTCGGATCATGTCCATTTAGCAAGCACACAGGGCACTGAGGGTCAGAGAGCTTAAGTTATACAGCAGAGTTTAGATTCAAACCAGATCTGTCTGACCCAAAATCCTTGCTTCAGGTCACACTTGCGTACTTCGGTTCCCTGCACTTATTCCCATACTTGAAAGTGAGACACAAGGTAAGGTAAAGGGAGCACAAGGGATAAGCTGGGGGTCTGGTGGCA